ACCTTCAATAGCCACGTAGACTACACAACTGGAAGAAACCCGTATAGTGTCACAGTCGGTGATTTCAATAACGATTCAAAACTGGATCTGGCTGTGCCAAACTTTAGCGACAGTTCAGTCAGCATTCTCCTCGGCAACGGTGATGGTACCTTTCAGACCCAAGTACAGTACAGAACTGGATCGAGTCCAACTAGTGTCGCATTTGGAGATTTTAACGGAGATTCGAAAATGGATTTGGTCGTTGGAAATGCTAATGGCAATACGCTCAATATTTTAATGAACGGATGTTAATAATTTTATTTCTGTATAGCTTTTTGTTTTTATTCATGTGAGTTTTTATTGCAGTCAAAAGGCATCTAATTGCTTCTTCTAATCTCGCGATTCTTTTAATGCTTATTTTGACTTTCGAATGTTTTTTGGATTTATGTCGACAGACATTTAGTGTTTCTGTGGAGAAAGTTTGTTTACTTTTTTTAATACCCTTATTAAAAAACTTTTGAAAGTAACTTTTCTGAATTCAGCATTAAAAACTGAGCATGACGTTGAAGTAAAAGGACAATCAAGTACGGACGTCTTGGACTTCCTTGCAAAAGGTGCCTGATCAATTTTGCAAAGGTGTCTAACTTTTCTATGAAGAAATGATGCCGACTTTTTATTTCATTAGAACTGCCATTAAACGAGCTGAAAGTAAGCATTGCTTTTTCTTAAAATTTATTTCTCTCCGGAGAAAATACATTTTTTCTGAATCAAAGGCAAGAAAAATCGGAATTCTGCCCGTAATTCTCTATTTTCCCCCCCCCCCTCACCAAGTTGTAACGGAAACCCTCAAAGTTTCTAACGGAATGGGGGACTTGGCTTTGGTTTTTTAACGATCCAGTCCTCAGCTATTTCTTGGCGCTATTCATATACACCTCTTCAAATGGAAACCGAAGTCAATACTCAAATCAGTTTTCCTGGTAGTTATCACGGTCGAGAAGGTATAAACAGATAGTAGGCGCACGCATAACTCACCTAATGAGATACTGCGTAAAATATAGATTTAACTATTATTAACTATAGATGAAAAATTATCTGCAAATTATTCGTGCCCGTTAGTCATCTAACAGAACATATTTGAATTATATTAAATTTCAAAGAATAAAATAATATTGACTAACTAAAATCTTTTTTTTTGTTGAAAACACTATTATACCATCATCTAATATATTTCTTCCCAATTTCGAATTTCTTTCTTCCTACGCTCTTTTGATGTCTCATACTACATATAAATACAGCTATTATTAGAAGAATAATACCTTTTTCCTTTCACCTCTCATGATGTCAAAACGTCTCTGTCTCCTCTTAATCTTCTATTTCTACTTTCAACAGAATGTCGCGCAAAGAATTGATTTCGAGAATGCAACTGAATTTGATAACTTAACTAGTAAGAAGTTTTCTAAGCCATGAGTAGTGATACAATTATTTTCCTCTTTACTTCTAGGTTCCGATGTTAATGCTGAATTTCGAAAACTTTTGAAACAATTGTTATTGTTTGGCAAGCAGCATTTATCGCAAGCAAAACCCTGCAGAGGTAGATCCACAGTTCAAAATGAACCGCGCACTGTATTTTAATTGCTCTTTTGTTTCAGCTTGTCACTGGACAGATTGGCAATATACTTCTCAATGTAGCGAAACGTGTGGTAACGGTCAGGTGCAACAGGAGCGATTCTGTATTGATAATGAAAAACTACCATGCAGGGCTAGGACAAGTACAAGTACCTCAAGTAAAAGTATTATACTTGTACTTGCAAAAATGTACTTGATACTTGTACTTATACTTTAAGAAAAGTACTTGGTACTTATACTTGTACTTCGAGATAAATACTTTTGTACTTGTACTTAAGTAC